TTTAGCTTTAAGCCAACTTTTTCACTGTCCTCTTTCACTTTCATTAAGAGGCTTTTTAGTTCCTCTTCACTTTCTACCATAAGGTTAGTGTCATCTGCATATCTGAGGCTATTGATATTTCTCCCGGCAATCCTTATTCCAGCTTGTGCTTCTTCCAGCCCAGCATTTCTCATGATGTACTCTGCTAATAAGTTAAATAAGCAGGGTGACAATATGCAGCCTTGACATACTCCTTTGGAACCAGTCTGTTGTTCCATGTCTAGTTCTAACTGTTGCTTCTTGACCTGCATACAGATTTCTGAGGAGGCAGGTCAGATGGTCTGGTATCCTCATCTCTTTCAGAATTTTCCAGTTTGTTGTGATCCACACAGTTTAAGGCTTTGGCGTAGTCATTAAGGCAGAAGTAGATGTTTTTCTGGAACTCTCTTGCTTTTTCTATGATCCAGTGGATGTTGGCAATTTGATCTCTGGTTCCTCTGTCTTTTCTAAATCCAGCTTGAACATCTGGAAGTTCTTGGTTCACATACTGTTGAAGCCTGACTTGGAGAATTTTGAGCATTACTTTGCTAGCGTGTGAGATGAGTACAGTTGTATGGTAGTTTGAACATTCTTTAGCATAGCCTTTCTTTGGATTGGAATGAAAACTGACCTTTTCCAGTCCTGTGGACACTGCTGAGTTTTCCAAATTTGCTGGCATATTGAGTACAGCACTTTCACAGCATCATCTTTTATGATTTGAAATAGCTCAACTGGAATTCCATCACCTCCACTAACTTTGTTTGTAATGATGCTTCCTAAGGACTTCACACTCCAGGATGTCTGGCTCTAGGTGAGTGATCACCTACAGCGGAGACGTGGGTCAGCAGTGGCCTGCTGCAGGGTCGGGGGCACTGAGTCCAGCAGTGTGTGCATGGGACCTTTTGAAGGAGGTCGCCATTATCTTCATTCCTCATCTGTAGAATGGGGCTAACTCTACATCTTTTGCAGGGTTATTCTCAGCACTTGGATGAGATGTTGTAATACAGATATAGCTCTTAATGCAATGCACAACTGTTTTAATTGCCATAAGGAGTGAAAAGTGGAAATGTTAGTTGCTCAGTTGTGTCCGACTTTTTGCAACCCCCTGGACTATAGCCCGCCAGACTCCTCTGTCCATGAAATTCTCCAGGTAAGAATACTGGAGTGGGTTGCTGTTTCCTATTCCAGGGGATCTTACTGACCCAGGGATCGAACCTGGGTCTCCTGCATTGCAGTCAGATTCTTTACCATCTGAGCCACCACCATGCAATGCATTACTGCTTTAATTGCCATAAGTAGTGTATACATGTAAATAAATACTGTAACTTTTTCAGATCCCTTTGAAAACTAGCCATTAAAGAATCTGTCAAGAGTGAGGTAAGTCAGAAAGATAAAAACAAATATCGTATATTAATGCATATATATGGAATCTAAAAAAATGGTACTTATGAATCTATTTGCATGGCAGGAATAGAGACACAGATTAGAGAATGGACTTGTGGACACAGTGTGGGAAGGAGAGGGGGAGACGACTTGAGAGACATACATACACTACCATGTGTAAGATAAATGGCCAGTGGGAAGCTGCCGTGTTACACAGGGAGCCCGACCTGGCACTGTGTGATGTCTTAGAGGGGTGGCATGGCGGAGAGATAGGTTGGAGGGAGGCTGGAGAGGAGGGGATCTGTGTGTAC